ACCTTCACATACCTGTACCAGTTGGTCAAAGTCATCATGATGTAGAGTGAGGCCAGAAAGAAAGTGATGTGAAAAAAACTGTAGTTGTAAGTCACTGCAGTGGTTTCATCATCATACACACGTTGGGTGCGGGGCTTGTCTTCATCATTTGTGCTGTTTCCACTCTCAGCATCTAACAGAAGAAAAATACAATAGTAAGCGGGAATTTGCAGATGGAAAAAAGCTAGAAGATGCTTGTCACAGAGGGAAAGACATATATGTAAACACCAATTAATGAGTATCCTACTCCTCAGTTTCATTACAGTGGAACCTCCCCCACTCCCCCTTACGGCCATCCTGTTAATATGGCCACCTCTTTATTACGGCCACTTTATTCAAAAGCTCAGTCAGTCATTCTTATCTAAACAACCCCATTAATATGGCCACCCCATTAATACAACCAGATTTTTGTGGCGTGTAGGTGACAGGATTAACGGGGTTCCACTGTATTAAATGTTCAATTCCCAAGGTCACACAGACAAAATAGCTCCTTCTATATCTCTTAATTTTCTATGTTAACTTTTTCCTGTGTTTGCAACAAATTTATCTATCACAGCTGCTGTTTGAGTTGTTGCATAAACAAAGAGAAGAATTGTGTGGCAATACAAACAATGGCTACACTTCTAGTAGTATTGCGTTCAATTAGTAATCTATATCTGTGGTTGTTTGCTCTAGCATGCCTCTGACAGTGTTTCTGAACAGTTCATTTAGCAAAGAGCAGAGGGATACACCTTCACTAACCTTGGGTATAGTCTGGTAGAAGTGTCTCCTGCCATAAAAAAAAAGGAAAAGATTGAAATAACTTGAAACTGTTAGTCAAGGATTTTGTGACCTTGATCAGCACAACAATTTCCAGCACTTTTTAGCACTTCTTCTTAAATGGATCAATGCTAACTCTTGCTTTTATTTGATGCTTAAATAATGGTATCAAACAAATGCCCAAGCACTGGAGAAAATGTTATAGCCTCTTTTAGGGGACAAAAGGTTACCATAGCAATGGTACAAGCTCATAAAAACACTCTTAATTTTAGCTTTATGGGCTTACAATGCAAAAAATGAGTCCACTGACCCACATTTATATTATTGAATTTTGACTATCATGTTGAATTATAACTTTCTGCCAAGTTAAAAAAAAGATGTGGTAGCAGATTCAGACCCACCAGGCCATTACAGTAGTGTCAACTGAAAAAGAGTGGCAGTATTGATATATGAAACCAGAAGTGCCTAAGGACGTTTGCGCTAATTGTTTCTGCGCAACCTTACTGCGCATGCAAATTCACACGCCACACCATGCATGAAAGAGCACACTAAGTAATAAAATGAACAACAATAGGGCAGATGGCCATTGCTATAGCTTTGACTGGATTTAACGATCTTGGATGTTCGGTGACCCCTATTTTTATTTTGATAAATCATTTCCTCCACCCATTTTCTACATTTAGCGAAAAAATGAAGAAAATCTATGGAGTAGAAGTTTGAATTTTTTGCAAAATGCACCATCAAATTCTGTTCTTTTCAGCTCCTTGTTTATCTGTGTGACTGTTTCAAATGCCTCTTGAAGGATTAAGTTTTGTGAAAATGTTGGTAACATTTGGAATTATTTATGTAACAGACCCACTTCTACAAAATATGACTAAGATTGTTTGCTTCCGTTGACTAACCTTGAATATTTTTAGCTATAAACCCCTGTAGACCATGTTGAATTACGAGCGCTAATTTTTCAAAATCAGGGTAGTTTTCTACGCGCTTTATCTCTGAAATGAAGTCAGTGACCCCCAATGTTTTTTGCATTTCTGACACAAGTAACTCATTATCTGACTGCAAAAAACTTTTTGTGCAAATGTTCTTAAGCATACTGGAAACTGTTGAGAGCCATCTTACAACACTAAAAATGAAACAAACCTCCATGCTTCCACTGGCAGTGAGACGGTTTGAACTGGTTGTTCTCAAACTAACAGAAGCAAAACACAGCTAGGATGAGTGCAAGGCCACTGTGTATGAGCAGCAGGGGGGGGTATGCACTTTTTTATTGAGCCAAAATAAAGCCTCCAGGGGCAGACCACACCCTCGATGGCCAAGGAGGCCCTATTTCGGTGCAATAAAAGGTCTATTCGCTCTAACATCCTTGCCGACTTTGAGTTATGGCAATTTGATAACTCACTTACAGAGAAGGCTTAGATTTATGTTGCAATATGAGAATGCAGCCATTATTCCATTCTGATATAAATTCATTTCCCTAATTGGGTTTTTGAATTGCCATAAATCAAAGTCGCCGAGGATGTCAGGGTGAATAGAGCTTTTATTGCACCGAAACAGGGCCTACTCCATATTATGGTACACATGAGGGAGCAAACGAAAGAAACTTGAAGTTTGTTCAATTTGCCCTGGGATCTTACTCCCAAATATTTAATTGGTTTAATGTTCTGGAGCAATTTGCCTTGTGGAAATTCTGCCCCCGAGAATGAATTACGCTCATGAAATAGTTGGTATACATGAAGGAGCTTTGCTCCCAGAGCATGCCCATGGAGCAAAACCCAAAAGCAAAACCCCTTGTGTGTACCATCCTTAAGACAACTTGTGGTATACTTCACATACCAAGAGTACACCACCATGACAAACATCAGTATTGCTGCTAGAACAGTTCTTCCATTACCCAAGCCAGGTGCCAGATTAGAACTACTGGAGATCAAAGAATCACTGGGATTGCACGTCTGGTCTGAGAAGAACAACAATGACCTCAGATCTGATCAGATTATTAATTAATGTTTCCATTTTCTTCTGCTGCATTCTTGGTGACAACCTGCACACCAATCCTTCTTGACTAGTGTTTTTCATGTTTCCAGAAAAAAAAGACAACAATATCCTAACTGCTAAAAGCTACAGAAACAAATACAATCCATGCATAATTGGAAAAGTACTTGGCATAATATTTTATTTACCTTCTTCTGTCTACAAGGAAGACCGATAATAACCTAAGGTAGTTTTATCATTACTATATGTAGCATACCAGGTTCATTTGACATGCCAGACCATGTCAGGTACATTGTATACAGTGTAATAACTGCCGCCTGTAACAGACCAGAACTTGGTTGACCTGTAGTGCAAAAAAAAAAGTATATGTCCCTATCTATCATTGCTTAGAACACAATGTGTAGAACAGTTTTTAATTGAGTGTCATAAGATCAAAACCAAACAATCCTGTGAGCAAATCAAAGCTAAAATAATTACATGTAGCTGATGCAAAGTGCGGGAAAACGAGTGCAAATAAGTTACAATTGGTTTTGGTTTTACTTTTGATTGGATGAAAAAGTGGCAAAAGTTATTTGAGCCAATCATGTAGCGTAAGTTGATGCAAAACCAATTACTTTTTGACACTCAAATGAAAACCACTCTACCTGCATGTAGGTTTGTTTAAATTCATTTGTCCAAAGGCTATTTATTAAATAGCCATTGATCCTGCAAGTTTGTTGACTAACTTACTAATAACTAATTGATAACTGAATGTTATTGAGTCTACCAAGGTGTACTTTAAACTCCAAAAAGCAACACTCTTTTGACAATTTTCTTTCAATTTCCCATATTCATTTGATAAAACAGTGACTCAGATATTTTCCATATTCTAACAAAACATACACCTCCCTTGTCTCTCCCAATTTTTGGCAACGATTGAATTACTAATCAAGTCTTCAGTGCCAGAGGAATATTTCAAGGAAATAGTTATTACTGCAGACAACATGATTATTTTACAAGTGGATACATAGTAGGCAATGACAAGTAGTTGTGGGGCTACATGTAAGTGCAAAAAATTGACTGGATCTATACGGAGTGGACAAAAGAACTAAAGCTAGCTTAGAGTATACTAAACATTTTTAGGACTGGTGCCCAGCAGAATCTCTTATTCTTTGCTGTATAGATCTGACTACTAAGTCACCTGTCTAATGGTCTCACGAAAACGTTTGGTATTACAATGAAATTTTCAACATTTGCAGTGCAGCCAAACTTAACATACTTCACATGCTGCATACTGCGCATGTATTGCCAACGTTAAAGACTTACATTCCTGAACTTTAGGATGAATGGCAACCATGGAGACAATAAAACACAGCACCAGGTTTAAGCTGATAAAGAACTTGTTGGTCTTGCAACCTGTTGGCTGCAAAAAGCAAAAGTGCAGGACAGTACATTTTCATTAATACTGACTGGGACACCTTTAACTACAGAGACAATGGTTCTAAATCCTTGGGTCCCAATGTATTTAAACTGCAATGGACTCTGGCTCCCGGAGAGAAATAATGTATAAACACACAATACAGGTTAAATTTGTCTAATGTGATCATCACACAACAAGAAACTCCCAGAGTTCACAGATTACCAGTACTTTTTACAAAACTGCAACCATACAAAGCACATGCTTCTATACAACTGTTAAACTCTGGAACTCATTAGACTCCTTTAGACTTCACTAAAGGATTTCACACCTTGTTTACGAAAACATTTCATCTCTAAATTTCTAGAGTCTTGACCTCACTGATGTATTTCTTTTGTCTATCTTTTTATTTATTTTTATTTATTTATAAATATTTTTTTGCACCTTTATTCTGAAAAGCCCAATTGGGATGAATAAAGTATATAATGTATTCATATGAATATTAGTTCTGAAAGGAACTGCTCTTGGTGACTGACATTTTGAAAACCTGAGCAGAAGTCATATTCAGAGTCAAGCAAAAGTGTCTGCCTGACAACAGTGTTTTAAGTCTTGTCTGTTAAAACTGATTGGTCAGTTTAGCTGTGATGGTATTGGCTGAAGGACTCATCATAGGTCAGTTCTGGTGAGTTTCAATCCATCCGATGATATTCATAGGTGACAGTTTATTCACAACATAAACAAGTTTAAGTGATGGACGGACCTCAAACAAAATGACTCAATTTTTGACAAACAATTTCTGGCATGCTATGGTGCATTGTTATTTGTTGCAGTGAGTAGAATAGTAAACGACTTACTTCAGTGTAGAATAGGAAAAAGCACACAACAGCACCAACAGCAATGATATAGATTCCACTGGTAACAATGACAAGAGCTAAAACAAGAAAAAGTTATTGGAGTGTTAATTACTGACAACTAAGTGATAAATGCACAACATTTTGATGACCTTTTGTCACCAAGATATCAAATGCAAATGTAAAGAGTTTGGTGCTCGGTGCTTACAATCAGATTGAACATTCTTATCTCTACTCTCATTCAAAGTTTAATACAAAGTCCTTCTCAAAAATCTAATGCTCACTTACCCCAGTACCACCTTTTATTTCCTGTCGTTTCATACTTCTCAACCCTGAGAATTAACAAAATGCACAATAATATTACAGGTGTACCTGTGTGTAATAAAACAACTTCTTTCAAACAAAGTGTGGCAACAAATAAGTCTGCAATGTTGCATCCATTACAAAGACTTATTGATAAAGAAAATTATATTAAAATTTGACTTGTCCCATTCTTTGTCCACACTTAGTCTGCACTGAAGCCCTGCCTAAGTTAAAAGGAGTTGATGTTTAAACTAGGTGGCTACTGTACATTTGCCATCAACGTTGTCACATTAATTCAACCTAGTCTGAATTACCGACAAGACCTTGTGTCTTGTCCTCCCATGTAAACTTGTTCCGGGGACTAGTCATAAAGGCAAGTTACCCTGTGTGTCCACATTATGTTTTTTAGCATGACTGGGTGGATGAGTGAAATATAGTGACTGGGTTGCAAGTAGTGACACCTATAAGCAGTTTTACAGCTTGAATGACTGTTAATAATGAGCTGACAAAACAGTCGAATTTCCAGCAACAGCCACCTCCCTACAACAGCCACCTCTCTACAGTGGCCACATTTTTTGGTCCCAGTGGACGGTCCATACATTTACTCTTATTTTAGACCCTCTACAACAGCCAGCTCTCCACAATGGCAAAAGCCACTAAAGCGCATTCCAAACAAACACTTTCCACAATGGCCAGTTAAATTACCAATGACTGACGAATGGTGTTTATCAAACCCTGTGTTATATTATAAAAGGTCACGAAACTTGATCCGTACTGCGCATCGTTGGTCTTATGTTTCTGTTTGGTTTCTGTTTTATAAATATTGATATATTTTGATTGTGTTAGGTATTACTATGCTAGAGTCAGCATTTTTTAAATATAAAAATGTTGTACCTCCAAAAAAACAGGTGTCATATTACACCCCTACCTCCTCATAACGGCCACCTCTATAACAGCCACTTTCATCTGTCCACAAGTTGACTGTTGTAGAGAGGTTTTACTGCACATTCCTTACTTACCAAGATTCACTCCAGTTATAAGCAAAATCAATCAACAGAATGAGCTGTAGCAGTATAAACAGGTAGCCACCAGTCATGCCAATGTACATCCATGCTAAAGGAAATTTCAAAAACAATAATTACCTCCCCCCAAAAATAAAAAGTTGATTTGATTTAGGAAATATACTGTACCTTCTATTTTAGTTGGCAGCCACCTCAGGAATTCAAAAAGGTGTTTGTAACTAGAGCTTAAAAACCCCCAGTACATTTATTTTACTATTATGTCAAGCTTGAGGCTAGCCCACAAGGCTTAGTAATCAGTGACTACACCAGATGGATTTGGAATTCTGAGTGTTGTTAATTCAGCGATATGGGAAAACCAGAGAGCCCAGAGAAAAACCCTCAGAGCAAGGACAAAAACATCACCTGTATTGGAAATTCAAGTCAGAATCTTTCAGAGTCGCTTACAAAAAGCTTACAAGAGCATTCCCTTACCAGTATACCTATGCCATACCTGTGCCAAACTTTCCCTTGGGGATGTAAAAAGCAGCCACCAGAAGTGCTATAAAGAAAGCAATCTTGACAAACCAAAACCTAATGACACACACATATCATTGCAGTTAGACTGAGCAAGCATTTAAAGATATTTACAACATACAATGCTATCTTTCAGCCTGGGGACAAATTTGTGCAATGTTCCTGGCCAGGGTTCAAATCCAGAATGCTCAATCCAGAGGCCAGTGCAGTAACTATAAGGGTACCACGCTCATACATTGTTTCATGTACAGTTTTAGAATTATATTATACAGTCGAGCCTCTATTAAGGGGCCAACTATTAACTGACCACTCCTGTTAGGCAGCCAGTAATCAAAGTCCAAACTTCCAGATGAGCATTTTCTATTGTTGTTACCTCTATTAAGTAGCCAGCCCCCTTTAAGCAGCCACTATGGACTTCCCCAAGGGTGGCTGTTTAATAGCGGTTGCACTGTATATTATAATTATTATAAATTATTCACCCATTTTGAAACTTGGCTCTGGGATCATGGCTGCTGCTAACTTTAAACATCATAATGGCCATCAACAGGAAGAATGCTGCCATGGCAAAGCAGACTCGATACACTGCCAAGTATCCCACCAGGCTGTTACAGTGATCAGGAACATGTTCGCAGAAGCGAGGAATCTTCTCCAACTTATCAGCGATACCGGGGGCAAGCATGACAGCAGACAAGACTGTTCCCAGGAACAGGAATATGGTGTAGACGATTCTTGATGCAGTGGAGTTCTTGCACGAGGGACAACGGGCACAGCAACAAAAGCATGCAGAAGATCCACAACAACAGGCAGCCTAAGAAAAGTGATTGAATGCAATAATAATGTCTTTAAAATGATGAGAATGTCTTATAAGTTAAGCTCTCTACCCATGTTCATATCAAACAAGAACATCAGAGATAAAAGAACTGGGAGTGGGAATTTGCATGAAAGGTCCTGCACATGAGCCCCGGAAGGGGGGGAGGGTAATCCCTATTGGCCTATATGGGGAGGCTCTACCTGAAAGGGGTGCCATTTTCAGGCTTCAGGTATATAAAGGGTAGTGATTTCAAAAGTTGAGGTATATGAAAGAGTAGGGAAATCTATTATTATTATTATTATTATTATTATTATTATTATCATTATTATTATTATTGTTGTTGTTGTTGTTATTATTATTAGTATTAAAATTTATCAAACAGACAAACTGTGCAGTTGTACTTATTAGGCACTACATGAAAGTGACAAGAACACTTCCTTTTTTAGTGATTTATTCATAATAAGGGCCAGGTATGAAAGCATGTGAAAGGGTTACCTTTTTCTATAAAAGGTATACAAAAGGGGTACTTTTTCTGTCAAAATGGTATACAAAAGAGTAAGAGGTTAGAATACCCCCTCCCCCCCCACTGGGCATTGAGCACAGTGAACCTTTTGGACAACAGTCATCAAATTCACAAAAAAAACTGAAGCTTGTCTCAATCAATGTGCATACTAGACAGATACACGTTAGGTAAAAGGTAGCCGAATGTCATCAGGCCGGCTCTCATCTCTGGTTTCCATAGCATGAAGCGACCAGGAGTATTTCGACTTCCCCCTCGATGGGATGCTAGTTAATTGCAGGGTTACCCCTGGGATTTAATTCGCCATTGCAGGTTTAACCCCAGCATTTAATTCACCATGAGAGTGAAGTGTCTTGCCCAAGAACACAACACAATGTCCCTTGCCAGGGCTCGCACCCAGACCGCTTGATCTGGAGACAAGCATACTAATCATGAGGTCACCACGCCTCCCATAGCTTAACTGACAGGATATGTTTAACTAAATCTCAAATGAATTAATGGCACCAAACAAAATTCATTTCATGCAAAAAAGAGCAAAGAACATGTACTTGGGAAATTTAAAAAAGCTTAACTAACCAAACTCTTTTTGTTTCCTTTTTACTTTCAAAAATGGCAATTACCCACATTGGGAGGCAGTCACAAAGTGTCATACAAACAAATTGCATAATCATATAAAGCTCAATAAAGTTACATATTAAATCAACATCCGAAAGTGTATTAAATTTGACCACACAAACATCTTAAAATCTCAGTTATCCAGATAATTCCATTCAAAACATAATGAACACAGAATTTCTCTGTATAACATCTGTACAAGAATACTTTCAAAAGCAAAAAATAGAGATTCAAGGCAATTTAAAATATCCAGTACGCCCGGTTGTACTGTCAACTAAGCTTGAGTAAAATGTTATTATCTCAAACCAAAATGTGCGCTCAGCCAATTTAACAAAACAAAATGCCACTCCAGTGCAAAGCGATTTCGGAACGATGAGTAAATTTTCAGAATCACAAGTTAAGGCTTACATATGCCTTAACGGATTGCCAACAAATGAAAGTTGTACATTCTTCAGTTCGTTCTTTAAGTCAACGTTCGCTTAAAATTCAGTTCTACAGAACCATAGCAATGATATCGATTAATACTGTCACTAAACATACGATGCAAGAATCAAAAGAAATGAATCTTCATCGATCGTATATTTCCGCGAACTCTGTTGAACGCCATTAAAATACCAAACATGGCGGACCTACCACTGGCGCCAGAGAACTAGCACAAGAAGCACACGAAGAAAAGGCAGCACAGCTTCCCAGAGCACCCAACGCAGCTCCCATCCTGTGTTGCTTTAACAAACGTTCCCTTTAAACG